CAAACATATATTTTATATATAAACATTTTTCTTTGTCTTAATATGTAACAAAAGTTATATTTGAAGAGGACTGCAAACTTAAGGATTAATAGAAATTTTTTACCTTGAGATTTTGCTTTTGAATATTCTTGGAGAAAAATTTTGATACCTCCAAAAAACTTGGTGACGTATGTTTACTCTCATTTTTCATGAGTTTCTGCTCCAGGTTTGTTCTGTATAGTCCAGACATTTTTTATACTTATGACATTTATTCTTCTTGCACTGATGATATCCATTTAGTGGAAATGATGTCTCTTTATTGATATTTCCTTACTATCTGCTTCTAATCCATCCCATTACAATCATGAAAGCATCCTAATTTATCACTGTATCTCGAGTCTCTCACTTTGTGTATTCATGATTAATATTACTAAAAGTTTTCCTCTTATCACCCTCTTGAGTCTTAATCTCAACAACAAAATTTCAACCTTCAAGAGACCCCATAAGTTGATCTTGATAACTTCGAATTTTTAGGTGAGAAAACTGAGATCCCCAGATTTTTCTCGCATGAAATGACATAGTTAATTGGGAAATCTAGATTTCCTACTTTGATTCTCATTACTAATTGGTAATGATAAGTTCCTACTTATTAATTGGTAAATAAATTCCTATGCTGGCTGTCAAAAAACCTGCTGAACACAGATGTGATTTCTGTATTATAAGCAAGGTAACTCCAAACAGATGTTTATAAGTTGTAAATTACTAATATCTTATAAATAGGGATAATGTTATAAAAATATTTTAAGAGCTTTGATGTTAGTGCTGTTAAAAAAGAACATTCTCAAGAAAATTAACCTTTTCTTCCACACCCTACAGAATTTTATTAGCATTTGTCAAGATTAAGATTTATAGATTTGGAATCATTTGAGACTGTGAAGCCAGTGTGAATGTAGTGGTTTATTAGCATAGACTTCATTTGTTTGTAATTTGCTATTACTTGCTTTGAAGAACAGTGTCTTGGTTTTGCCACTTAGCATATTAATTAGCTATGCCTTATTATGAGTTATTATGTCACTCTAACTCTAGCTAGCTCTAAATCAATAATAGAGCACAAATGATCAAAAAATAGATAAATTGGACTTCATCATAATTAAAAATTTTGTGTTTCAAAGGACACCGTCAGGGAAATGTAAAGATAACCCACAAAATGGGAGAAAAGTTTTGCAAATCATGTATCTGATTAGGGACTTGTATCAGTATATATAAAGAAACCTTAGAACTCAGTAATAAAGAGGCAAATAGCACAGTTTAAAAATGGACAGGGAATTTCCAAAGAAGATATACAAACGGTGAGTAGGCACAGAAAGAGATGATCAACATCATTAGTCATTAGAAATGAATATCAAAACTACAATGAGATACCACTTTATATTCAATAAGATAGCTATAATAAAGAAGGTGA